GAGAAATTTTATGGAAACCCATCCTTGTCGTTCATGTTATTTTTTAAAAATTAAAATTATTTCACTTTTTTTAATTATTTTCATAATTATGCCCTAAAAAAAGGGGGGGGAGGGAGCGAACTAACCCTAAACAATATGTCGGGACCTTTTCACTAAAGGCTTCACGGGCCTTCTTTACGACCGTGGACCCTACTCAGGTGAAGAATTGACTATATAATATCGAGATGTAAAACGACTGAGAGTAAAATCACAGGCTTTTTAAGGTGGAGGGGGGGGGAGGGAAGAGAAACGGATGAACGATATCTTGCCGAACTTGCCTAGTCATCAGGATTACCTCCAAGTATCGCTTCACTTTGACACTCCCCAAGTGCGTGATAAAAAGACCTAAAGAAAGCCTTACAAGACGTCCACTCGATATGAGGAAGTCGAATACAATTATGAAAAGATCTTGGCTGAATTTAACAGCATTCGATGTACAAAGACACTCCTTGAAAATACCTTTAGATGCATTCCCAATAATTACCTAAAACCAAGGTTAATAAGAATTTGAAGGGGTAATAAAATCAAAGTAGAAAAAGGAAGAGATCACATAGTTCATCAACGGTAGATATTTAGAGTTTGTGAAAATGATTAGATCCATTCAACGGACAAAAAATAAAAGGCATAAAATACAACAGTTACGGGCTAAAAATGATTTTTTGAATTCGGTACATTTGAATATATATATATATATATATATCGGTGTGTGTATACGAATACTATGAGTAAAAATAATAATTTTGCCTAAGCCCGTGCCTTCCTTCCAGAGCCAACACGACATTTACTCAATTTGTCAACAAAAATAAAATGTGAAAAAATATGTCAGAGCTCATCGCCTTCAATAATATACAGAAATGGTTTATTCAATATTTAAGGATATACCTATCTCCATATGTTTTGTAGATACATAGGCTTATATGGTAATTTACAGAGAAGGTATAACTGATAAAAAGTTGAACAGAATGATAATCATCAACGTTTAGATTCTTAGTTGCTTGTATGAAAACAAAAAGCTTCCAGTAATACCTTGAATACTAATATTAAAACTATACAAAATCGCATCACCTTCCTGTAAATATATTGGTTCTGTTGCGTGAAGACTAGTCTTCCTCACTCTCAAGGTACTGAGTATCCCAATTTACCTGGAACCAAGGGTGCTTAATCACATCCTCTATCGATATGCGCTTTCGGGGGTCTACCATCATCATGCGCGCAATTAGATCCCTTGCCTCATTGGAAATGTGTTTAATTACTTGGTACTCACCATGTTCAATCTTTGCCAATAGTGCG